AAAGAGTTAATCCTTCAGGACCTCACAAGTAGTAAGAAGGAGGACTAGGTGAGTGTGTGGTGCAACTGGAGTCCCAGCACTTCCGAGGCGGAGGCAGAAGGATCATGGTGAGAGTTTGTCTTAAGACAAGCAGAAAAAAGAAAAGAAAAGAAAAGAATTCAGAAACTTGGAGGCTGAAGGCACAGCTCAGAGCAGAGGTAGAGGGCTGCCTAGCACGCACAAGGCTCTGGGCTTGACCCAGCCCCATAAAATGAGTAAGTAGATAAAATTAAATTTAAACAGGAGTAAGCCTGTCCTGGAACCTGCCGCTGCTGCCTCACCCCGCGCAGTCCTTCCTGCTCTCCAGGGGCTTCGATGGCAGAGAGTCAGCCCAGAGCCCAGCAGAAGTCCTGGGCCTCCACACCCACCAGCTTTCTCAGTACAAGGGACACCAGCTCCTCGAGACGGGGACACTTGCCTCTTGCAGATGTGCTGGGGTGGGGAAGGGCTGGAACAGCTCACGCCTGACTGCCTGACTTTGTGCCCTTGGGGGGCAGGTGGTAGTGATTTGATCTGCGTGAGGCATAGCTGGGGACTGACACCCATCTACACACTGCATCCAGAAACACAGTCTAGTTGCTTCCTGAGGCGTAGACTTTTCTCTGCACTGAGCACTGATGGGTTTTATTATCATAAAATACTAAAGGGAGCTGGGAAGGTGGCTCAGTGGTAGAGTGCTTGCCTAGCACGCATGAAGCCCTGGGTTCGACTCTTCAGTACCACATACACAGAAAAAGCCAAAAGTAGCGCTAGCCTTGAGCAAAAGCAGTTCAGGGACACAGAAACTCAGGCTCTGAGTTCAAACCTCAGGGCTGGCAAAATAATAACAATAATAATGATAATAATAATAAAAAGAGGATCAGGATGGCAGCTCTGGAGCCAGCCTGCCTGCTCGGCTCCTCATTCTCTCTTCTCGCTGACTTTGGACAAGTAACTCAGTGCCAGGCCTCAGCTTTCCTGTCCGCACAGTGGGGTGATAACAAGAGGGTCTGCCTCCCAGGTACAGGGAGGATAAAGGAACAGGGCCCGGCCTACAGGGGCACCCGACTTACTACTAGGAGAGGGGGGCAGAGGGCAGGTGACAAGAGCCGGGGGAGAGGAGACAAGGGCAGGCCACACACTGCTCAGGCTTCAAAGGCTGTCTCTGAGCTTTCTAAGACGCCAGCTGTTTCATCCGCACAGACGAGGGTGAGGGCAGGTGTCCCCGCCGTGTCCCCTCGGTGCAAGACACACCCATCACAGAACAGGTGCCAGAGGCGGCAGCTCTGGTCCCAGAGGACGAGCAGGGCCGGGCCTTACAGACACAGCTGGCCACGTCGGGTTATTAGATGCCAAGAAGGGAAACCAGGCAGAAAGGAAGGTCAGACGGGCCTCAGGGGACTGGGTGGGACCGGAAGGGAGGGGCCTCTGCTTTCTGCTGTTGGCGACCATCAGCTTCTCTATGCTCTGCTCTCTCCTGACCAGACTCTTCTGCTCCATTTTCTTTCATTGTTTTTGGGTTGCTGGGGTAGAACTCAGTGCCTAGCACAGGCCGTACCACCAGACTACCGCCTAGCTCTGCGGAATTCTCTCTTCAGTGCCAGCTGTCTGTCTACAGCAGGAGTTGGGCGTGTTCAAGGCAAAGTGGCAAGTCAGAATGCCCGATGGCCGGGCCTCCTGGGCGCCCCGCCCTGGCCCTTGCGTCCGCAGTGGGCAGGTCTAGCGCTGGCAAACTCCAGAGTCCAACTTCCCATAAAATAAGGCATTTCCCCTTTCACGTCCCAGGGTGACTTCACTGAGGTGGTTTGTGTTTTTTTGGGGTTTTGCTGCTTCAGAACCGCCTTTGGCCAGAGAGGAGCTGAAGAGGGGACCCAGGCCTGAACCCCAACACTTCACTCTTTCTTTCTCCTCTCTCTCTCTCAGCATCAAATCCAACATCTTCACTTCCCCCTTTTCAGAGCTTTGTCTCAACTCTCCTTAAAATTATTTCATCCTTTTGAGTCCCTTCTTCAATCTGTGTTTCTGCCCTGGGTTTGGTTTGCCTTTTTTCCCCATTCCCAATACTTTAACAAAACTTTTGATGTACAGAAAAGTTCTAAGAATAGGAAATTGACAGTTGTTTCTTATACCTACATTCAGCATTCCGTGCTGCCACAGTTCTGCTCTGTCCTCCTCCTCCTCCTCGCAGAGTAAGAAAGTCTCCTCACAGTTCTCTCCCCTCGTTGCTGGTCCCAGGGACCTTCTCCATTGTCTGTTGTGTGCAAGGCAGAGATGAGACAGAGGCACCAGAGCCCCTGCTCCACCCAGTGGCACAGCAGGTGTCACCGACAGCAGGTGTCTGGAGACCAAACCCTGGGAGTGAACATTTTAGTTGGCTAAATACCTCAGACTGCGCTGGCTTTTGAAAGTGAGTGACCGTGGGTGTCATTTCCACGCACTGGTGCAGAGATGCCAGGGGTGCACTAGAAAAAGGAAAAAGAAATCAGAATAGATCTCCATACCTTGACCATCCCCATCCTCCATAAACCACTTGCCCAGAACAAAGGGGAGGAGGAAAGAAGTGCAGGGAAATGAGAGAAAGGAGAGCCCAGAGGTGAGGGGTGAATTGGATTCACACTGACGCAGAAGCCACAGAGCTGATCTCTGCCTCCCAGCTCCGGGCCCAAGGGGATCCCGGGAACTCCAACAAGAGCAGGCAGGCAGGGCCCACGGGCCAGCTGGCCCCAGCTCCACGGGTGAAGACCCACCTGTTCCCCACCAGCCTGCTAAAGAGGCAATTAGAAGTGCTTTGCCAATCCTGAGCATTTTGTTTTCAAATTCAACATTTAGGAATCTGCTCAGACTGATTTGTGGCAGACGTGAAACCCCAGGCATCAAACACACTGGTTTCTGAATTTCTGGGAAGCCTCGTTGGCAGGTGGCTGTGGTAAGAGCAGCACTGCCCAGGGGACAGGGAGCTCTGCAAGCCGACTCAGGAGAGCGCCAGTCCCACTGTCCTGTGCTCACGACGCAGACTCCGGCATAGTCCCCAGTGTTTTCCACAACTCCTTGACACTGCAGGCAAGTGCTATGCACGGGGCACGCCCCCCGAGGAACAGGTGCCCCCCTCTTCTGGTGAGCAGTACACACGTGCGCGCACACACACACGTGCATATGGTTGTGCATGTGTGCACATGCACATGTGCCAGTTCTATCCCTGAACTTCTTGGCTCTAGGCTAGCATTCTACCAGGTAGGCCCCTGATCCACTTCCGGCTTTTTGTTGGTTTTGTTGAAGCCAGCCCTGGCTGGCTTCAAAGCTTAACTCTCAGATCTCAGCCTCCTGAGAGTCAGTATTAGAGACATGAGCCACTGGCACCCAGAATACCTTTTAATTAAGACTTCATCTAGAGTTATGCAACAGAAGACAGAAAGATTCAGGGAGAGGGAGGGAAGCCAGCCAACAAGCAAGCGTCTGGTATATGCTGAGTGTGATCCTGGGTGCAGGGCTGCATGCAGGACCAGGCGCGGGGGGGGGGGGGGCAATGGGGGGGAAGCGGTAAAGAAAATGCTCCAGGAGATCCTGGAGAGGGGAGGAAAGGGGGAAGATGTGGCCACCCACCCTCTGAGGAGCATTTCTGATTCCAGGATGAGACCTGTGAGGCTTCTGTGCCAGCAGCACTTAGTACCTCAGCAATGACTTGCTCTGTAGGGGTGGTTCTGGCGTGCTGGGTACTTCCTTCAATAAAGCCAGTCACCTGGGTTATTCTGGTCACTTTGGCTACAACTGTCTTTTGGTACCACTCTGTGTGTGTGTGTGTGTTCTGGACTTAGGAATCGCTGCCTATTT